GCCTTACAATCGGTTCTTATGTGTTTATCTTTTTATAAAGATGCATCGGGGCCGGGCGCGGTGGCTCAAGCCTGTAATCCCAGCACTTTGGGAGGCCGAGACGGGCGGATCACGAGGTCAGGAGTTCGAGACCATCCTGGCTAACACGGTGAAACCCCGTCTCTACTAAAAAATACAAAAAACTAGCCGGGCGAGGTGGCGGGCGCCTGTAGTCCAGCTACTCGGGAGGCTGAGGCAGGAGAATGGCGTAAAAACCCGGGAGGCAGAGCTTGCATCATGTTTGACAGATTTAAACATATACTTCTTTTTGAGTAGTCAGCAGATAATTATAGACTATTTGATTTCTTTTTTATTTTGTAGAGAGGGAGGTTCTCCCTATGTTTCTCAGGCTGGTCTCAAACTCCTGGGCTCAGGCAATCCTCCCGCCTTGGCCTCCCAAAGTGCTGGGATTACAGGCAGGAGCCACCACATCCAGCCAGACTATTTGATTTTTAGGATGCTTCCTAAGAAAGGATCCCTTCCCCGCTTCCTTCCTTCTTTTTCCTATCAAGGGATAGTATACACATTACCGATTTCATAGCCTATATTAATCCTGAGTACTTGATGGATTTTCACAGATGTACGCATCCATGTGACCACCTTCCACATAAAGAAAGGGAACATCTGCAGCAAGCCACTGAGCCTCCATGTGCCCCTTTCCCATCTATACTATTCTCCTGTTGGAGGTAACTACAATTCTGATTTTTTTTTTTTTTTTTTTTTAGCGACAAGGTCTCCCTCTGTTGTTCGGGCTGGAGTGTAATGGTGCAATCGTGGCTCACTGAAGTCTGGACCTCTGGGGCTCTCTCTTTCAAAAATTTTAAAGTGGGCTGGGCGCAGTGGTTCATGCCTGTAATCCCAGTACTTTGGAAGGCTGAGGTAGGCAGATTACTTAAGGCCAGGAGTTTGAGACCAGCCTGGCCAACATGGTGAAACCCCGTTTCTACTAAAAAAATACAAAAATTAGCCAGGTGTGGTGGCACGTACCTGTAATCTCAGCTACTTTGGAGGGCTGAGATAGGAGAATCGCTTGAACCTGGGAGGTGGAGGTTGTAGTAAGCCGAGATTGCACTACTGTACTCTAGCCTGGGTGATAGAATGAGACTCTGTCTCAAAAAAAAATTTTTTTTAAGTGCCTATTGTTCAATACAGCCGTCCACTTCTAGTTATTTATTCCACAGAAATACTTTATCCTATGGATATATTCTATTCCTTGAAAATATTCCATGTGAGCCCAAAGGTATTTGAGTAAAGTTCATATACAATGTCCATCATTGTTTGTAATGAAGAAAAACAGAGGCCAGGCACAGTGGCTCGTACTTGTAATCCCAGCACTCTGGGAGGCCCAGGCAGGCAGATCACCTGAGGTCAGGAGTTCAAGACCAGCCTGGCCAACATGGCAAAACTCCATCTCTACTAAAAATACAAAAATTAGCCAGGCGTGGTGGTCGGCGCCTGTAATCCCAGCTACTTGGGAGGCTGAGGCTGGAGAATTGCTTGAACCAGGGAGGCGGAGGTTGCAGTGAGCTGAGAACGTGCCACTGCACTGCAGCCTGGGTGACAGAGAGAGAGAGAGAGAGAGACTCAGTCTCAAAAAAAAAAAAAAAAAAAAAAAAGAAAAATAGGAGGCCGGCGCGGTGGCTCACGCCTGTAATCCAGCACTTGGAGGCGAGGCGGCAGATCACAAGTCAGGAGATCGAGACCACGGTGAACCCGTCTCACTAAAAATACAAAAATTAGCCTGGCGGTTGTGGCACCTGTAGTCCAGCACTCGGAGGCTGAGGCAGGAGATGGCGTGACCAGGAGGGAGCTTGCAGTGAGCCGAGATCGCGCCACTGCACTCCAGCCTGGCGACACCAATAGAGGCGTGGTAAACACGATTTGGCATGTGGTATTATGTTATTATTTTCAGAGACAGGTCTTGCTCTATTGCCCAGGTTGGAGTGCAGTGGTGTGATCACTGCAGCCTCACACTCTTGGGCTCAAGCAATCCTCCCACCTCAGTCTCCCAAATAGCTGGGATTACAAGTATGAGGCAATGTGCCTGGCAGCACATGGTATTAAATACTATACATCAGTCAGCAAGGATGACGAATGGTCATTAAAAATCTTTAATACTTAATAAGTTCAAAATGCAAGTAGAAGAATAATAGGCATAACATGATTTCATTTATATAAAAATAATGCACACTGCAAAAGAATGAAGTTGGACCCTTACCTAACACCATATACAAAAAATAACTCAAAGTGGATCAAATACCTAAATATAAGACCTAACAACACCACCACTCTCAGAAGCAAATGTGGTAAACACTTCATGACATTGGATTTGACAATGAATTCTTTTTTTTTTCTTTTCTTTTTTAAGACAGAGTCTCGCTCTGTTGCCCAGGCTGGAGTACAGTGGCGTGATCTTGACTCACTGCAAGCTCCACCTCCCGGGTTTATACCATTCTCCTGCCTCAGCCTTCCGAGTAACTGGGACTGCAGGCGCCTGCCACCATGCCCGGCTGATTTTTTTGTATTTGTAGTAGAGACGGGATTTCACCGAGTTGGCTAGGATGGTCTCGATCTCCTGACCTCGCGATCCGCCTGCCTCGGCCTCCCAAAGTGCTGGGATTACAGGCGTGAGCCACCGTGCCCAGCCCGGATTTGACAATGAATTCTTAGATATGTGTGACACCAAAGGTACAGGCAGCAGATGAAAAAATAGACAAATTGGACTGCATGGAAACTTAAAAGTTTTTGTGCATCAAAAGACACTATCAACAATGTAAAAAGGCAACCCAAAGAATGGCAGAAAATATTTGCAAATCATATATCTGATAAGGCATTGTCATTGAGAATAGGTAAAGAGCTCCTAAAATGCCTCTGGGCACGGTGGGTCACTTCTGTAATCCCAGCACTTTGGGAGGCCCAGGTGGGCAGATCACTTTAGGCTAGGAGTTTGAGACCAGCCTGGTCAACATGGTGAAACCATGTCTCTACTGAAAATACAAAAATTATCCAGGTGTGGTGGCAGGCGCCTGTAATCTCAGCTACTTGAGTGACTGAGGCGGGAAAATCACTTGAACCTGGGAAGGGGAGGCTCCAGTGAGCTGAGATCGCACCACTGCACTCCAGCCTGGCCTGGGTGACACAGCAAGACTCCATCTCAAAAAACAAACAAAAAACCTTTTAAAAATAACAACAAAATCAATCCAATTCAAAAATGGACAAGGAACTTAAATAGACATTTCTCCAAAGAAGATATGCAAATGGCAAATAAGCACACGAAAAGATGCTCAACATCAAGAATTATTAAGGAAATGTAAATCAAAACCACAATGGGATAACACCGTAAACCTATTAGGATGCTACTATCAAAACAAAAGCAAAAAAAAAAAAACAAAACCAAAAACCAAAAAACAACAACAACAACAAAAAAGAAAAGAAAAGAACCAGAAAATAAGCAACGGCTAGAGTGTGAAGAAATTGTGAGTCTTGTACACTGTTGGTGGGAATATAAATTGATAAAGCTGTTATGGAAAACAATGTGGCAGTTCCTCAAAAAATGAAAAGTAGAATTACCGTGTGATCCAGCAATTCCACTTTTGGATATATACTCAATGGAATTGAAAGCAGGATATAGCCATGTTCATAGCAGCATTATTTACAACAGTCAAAAGGTGAAAGCTAACCGAGGGTCCATCAGTGAATGAATGGATAAGCAAAATGTGGTATATCCATACAATGGAATATTATTTAGGCTTAAAAATAGGGAAATTCCGACACATGCTATGATATAGACGAACCTTGAGGACCTTATGCCAAGTGAAATAAGCCAGTCACAGAAAGACAAATACTGTATGATTCTACTTATATGAGGTACCTAGGGGTATCAAATTCATATAGTGGTGGTTACCAGGGGCTGGAGGAAGGGAAAAATGTTTATTGTGATTGTTACTATTTAATGGGTGCAGAGTTATGTTGCTATTTAATGGGTGCAGAGTTACTGTTTAATGGGTATGGAGTTTCAGTTTTGCAAGATGAAAAGGGCTACAGAGATGGATGGTGTGATGGCTGCACTACATTATGGATGTAGTCATTTATTTTAGAGACAGAGTCTCACACTGTTGCCCAGGCTGGAGTGCAGTGTCTGTAACCTTCAACTCCTGGGCTCCAGCAATCCTCCCACCTCGGCTAGAACCATAGGAATATGCCACCATGCTCAGTAATTTTATTTTCTTTCTTTTTTTTGCTTGTTTGTAGAGATAGGGTCTTGGTATGTTGCCCAGGCTGGACTTGAACTCCTGGCCTCAAGTGATCCTCTTGCTTCAACCTCCCAAAGCGTTGGGATTAAAAGTGTGACTTACCATACCAAGCCTGAAAACATTTAATAATACTGAACTGTACACTGAAAATGGTTAAGATGGTAAATTTTATGTTATATGTATTTCACCACAATAAAAAATGGAAAATATAAAAAATGTACACATGGGTTTGTTTATTTATTTATTTTGAGAAAGAGCTTTGCTCCAGTTGCCCAGGCTGGAGTGCAATGGCGCCATCTCGGCTCACTGCAACCTCTGCCTCCCAGGTTCAAGTGATTCTCCTGCCTCAGCCTTCTGAATAGCTGGGATTACAGGCACCCGCCACCATGCCTAGCTAATTTTTTAATGTTGGCCAGGCTGGTCTCGAACTCCTGGCCTCAAGTGATTCCCCCACCTTGGCCTCCCAAAATGCTGGGATTATAGGAGTGAGCCACCGCACTCAGTCACATGGGTTAATTTTTACGTATACATATACATGTATATAAATGTATAAAAAAAGGACTAGAAGGATACACGCTAAACCATTAACAGTGGTTACCTCTGGGAGGGGATTAGTGAGTGTCTGGAACACACGGGGGGATGAGGGAAGGAAGACCGTTTGCTCTTTTTTTTTTTTTTTTTTTTTTTTTTTTTTTTTTGCTTTAGAAGTCCAGTTACCTTGGAGTTTATTTAAACTAAGAGAAAAAAGTCATAATGTTTTCATGCAATACATACTTGGTTCTTTAAATAACAATTGTATGACAAATAGCAGAAGGAATTAAGGAATGCTGCACTTGTGATCCACACAAAACACCAACATTTTAGGTTGTACATAATTAAAGAAATATCTGAAACACTTTTTAAAACACTGTAGTAGCCAATACATAGAGGCATGCCGTAGGTGGGCACAGGAATGCAGTTTAGAAAAGAAAAAAAAAAAAATCACATAGGAACTACTCAATTTCTTTAAAATCACTGAGCAAGAAAAGCAACATTGAACTTTCATACTGATTTTACACAACTTCTATACAGTACCTTGACTTAAATCCAAGAGCAAAAGTTAAGACTCTCCTCCTCTATTTTTGGTAAACAACTGCATGGTAAACTTAGATGACTCTTCCCCCTGGATTTTACCTGGGAGTGGCCTTTTTACATTTTTATTTAAAAGAGGGCAGGTTTGGCACTTTTATACTGATGTCACCAATGTTAATATTTCTTGGGATCTCAGGAAGATTCATATTCTTTACAGCTGATACAGCACGGGCTGGAGCTCCCGCTAAGCCAGCCTCAGATTTTTCCAGCTTATTTTGTGCATCAATTTGTGTAACAATCTCATTCATGTTTGTCTCCAATACCATTCCCCCCATCACCATTTCTGCAAGAATATTGTGAACCTTGTCTACATGGAAAATCAAATCCAGTTCACAGACATTTTCAAAACATTTGTCTAATGTTTCCACAAATACTTGAATTAGATCTAAAATGCCAAGTTCACTTTCTGAGGAATCCACACAGAAGACAAAATATAACGTTGCATAATGTCTATAAATCAGTTTGTTGTCAGATCCTCCAATTAATAATCCTCCTTCTAGGTTTTTTTTTTTTTGAGACAGGTTCTTTGTCACCCAGGCTGGAGTATAGTGGTGCAATCCTAGCTCACTGGAGTCTCAAATTTCTGGGCTAAAGCAGTCCTCCCACCTCAGTCTCTTGAGTAGCTGGGACTACAGGTGTATGCCACCCTACCTGGCTAACTTTAAAATTTTTTTTGTGGAGACAAGGTCTCACCTTGCTGACCAAACTGGTCTTGAACTCCTGGCCTCGAGTGATCCTCCTGCCTTGGCCTCCCAAAGTGCTGAGATTACAGGCATGAACCATCATACCTGGCCCACCTTTTGCTTTTTTTTTTTTTTTCTCTCTGAGACAGAGTCTCGCTCTGTCACCCAGACTGGAGTACAGTGGCATAATGTTGGCTCACTGCAACCTTTGCCTCCTGGGTTCAAGCGATTCTCCTGCCTCAGCCCCCTGAGTAGCTGGGATTACAGGCATGTGCCACCACGCCTGGTTAATTTTTTTGTATTTTTAGTAGAGACGGGGTTTCACCATGTTGGTCAGGCTGGGCTTGAACTCCTGACTTCATGATCTGCCTGCCTCAGCTTCCCCAAAATGCTGGGATTACAGGTGTGAGCCAGCTCCACCTTTTGTTTTTTAAGATATTTTGATTTTTAAGATATTTCTGTACTGTTTGATTTTTTACAGTAAGAACGTAGTGACTGGGAAGGAAAGGTTGAGCAGCAGGCCTGAAACCTATTCCTTCTCTTTACCAAGGATCCTTGGAAGAAAGGGATCCCCACTCACATCCCCTTGTAAACACTCCAGTAACCAGAGCTCCTGGTAAGCAAACTAATGGTATTTAATAGCAGAAAGATAATATCTGTGTAATGCGTTTAGCAATATATACGCTGTCTGCTTAGAGCATTTACCAGAAGTAAACTTGGATTTGTGGATTTATGGGGCATAGCATGCTGGAAAATGTCACATAAGCTGTGTAATTAATGGGGTGTAAAATGAAGATCCTCCGTAATCAATATGGCTCCCTCGTGTAAGTGGTGGCATGTGCAATTGCTTAGACTCACACGTTAAATACAAGTGCAAACATATTCTATGCAGTAGACGAATGCTCTCTTGGGGGAGGTGTTGATGGTGTTGGACTTCAAGGGAGGGATGTTTTGCCTGTGCCTTGGGATCATCTGTATCCTTCAAATTAGTAGAATTTGGTACTGGGAGATCTATGATTCATGTGACTTGATTTGACAAATTGGGAGACATAGACTGGGTAAAATCAGCACATAGATGGCATCTTACAGCTGTGGAATTTGAGAGATATAGTCAGAGAGAGGTTGAGAGAGGGCATAGATAGAAAACAGAAGAGCAGGTTGGGCACGGTGGCTCACACCTGTAATCCCAGCACTTTGGGAGACTGAGGCGGGTGGATCACCTGAGGTCAGATGTTGGGGTCCGCGTGTTTCCTAAACAAAGGAATGAACACACAAGACAACACAGGACGAGACAAACATGGCGGCCGCCCGGAACGACACTCTCTGCTTTATTTTATACAGTCGTTTGTGGAATGTTGCCAAGTCACAAGACACATTGTTCTTTTTCTGACCTTTCCCTGACTTTCTGGATTTTCAAGATGTTTACACATAAACCAGCCCCCAGGGTCTGCTGTTTGCAACTGGCTCCTTTGTCCTCCCTGTTTGCAGGGAAGGAACGCCCTGCTTCGTTTGCAAGAGCAGGACTTATCGGGAATGTCTCGTTTGCGAGCACGTAGTCCACTACAGTCAGGAGTTCGAGACCAGCCTGGCCAACATGGCGAAACCCCTTCTCTAGTAAAAATACAAAAATTAGCCGGGCGTGGTGGTGGGTGCCTATAATCCCAGCTACACAGGAGGCTGAGGCGGGGAGAAATGCTTGAACCCAAGAGGTAGAGGTTACAGTGAGCTGAGGTCATGCCATTGCACTCCAGCCTGGGTGATAGAGCGAGACTCCATCTCAAAAACAAAACAAAACAAACAAACAAAAAAATTTAAAGAAAACAGAAGTGCTCGGACTATTGTAGTAGCTTCCTAACTGGTCTCCTGGCTTCCCTTCTTGACCTCTCCATAACCCAATCTCCACACAGCATGACATCACTGTTTGTAACTTTCCAGTGGCTTGCTGGAAAGTTAAGAAACTTTATTCTGGAAAGTTATTTCCAGAATAATATACAAAGTGCTTATCACGGCCCACAAGACCCTACACAAATGGGCTCCTGCGACCTCTTAAGCTCAACTCCTACTACTCTCTTCCTTGTTAGCCAATGTTCATGCTGTGCTGGGCTCCTTCAACTGCCTGAGGGCCCCTTTCTGGCTGTTTTCTCTGCCTGTGGTATCTTTCCTTTGGGGCATTCTCTGCATGCCTGGCCCTCTCTCAGGTTTCAAGTCTCAGTTCCAGTGTCACCTTCTCAGGGGATTTGCCTTGGTAATGCAATCTAAAGCAGCTCTACCCTCAGTCTCTATTGCCTTACCTCATCCCTGTCATTTTATTTGCTTTAGAGCACTATCTGAAATTATTGTGTTTTCTTGTTGATTTTTTTTTGAGACAGGGTCTTGCTCTGTCATTGAGGCTGCAGTGCAGTGGCACAATTATGGCTCACAGCCAGCAAGGAAGAGAGTAGTAGAGGTTGAGCTTAAGAGGCCCCAGGAGCCCATTTGTGTAGGGCCTTGTGGGCCATGATAAGCACTTTGTATTTTATTCTAAATGTGATGGCAAGCCACTGGAAAGTTCCAAACGGTGACGTCATGCTGTGTGGAGATTGGGTTATAGAGAGGTCAAGAAGGGAAGCCTTGACTCCCAGAGTTCAAGTGATCCTCCCAGCTCAGCCTCCCGAGTAGCTGGGACTACAGGTATGTGCCATTGCGCCCGGCTCGTTTTTAATTTTTTGTAGAGACAAAATCTTGCCATGTTGCTTAGGCTGGTCTTGAACTCCTGGGCTCAAGCCATCAGCCCACCTTGGCCTCTCAAAGAGTTGAGATTACAGGTGTGAGCCACGGTGCCCAGCCTGATTTTTTAATAGTGGTAAAATATACACAACATAAAATTTACCATTTTAACAATTTCTTTTTTTTTGAGGTGGAGTTTTGCCCTTATTGCCAGGCTAGAGCGCAATGGCACGATCTCGGCTCACTGCAACCTCCGCCTCCCAGGTTCAAGCGATTCTCCTGCCTCAGCTTCCCTAGTAGCTGGGATTACAGGCATGCGCCACTGTGCCTGGCTAATTTTGTATTTTTAGTAGAGATGGGGTTTCTCCGTGTTGGCCAGGTTGGTCTCGAACTCCTGACCTCAGGTGGATCTGCCCACCTTGGCCTCCCAAAGTGCTGGGATTACAGGCGTGAGCCACTGCGCCCAGCCCATTTTAACTATCTTTAAGTGTACAGTTCAGTGGCATTACGTACATTCATGATGTTGTGTCATCATCATGACTATTTCCAGAACTTTTTTATCATCCCAAACAGAAACTCTATGCCCGTTAGACAGTAATTCCCCATTCCTTCCTCCCCCCAGCCCCTGGTAACCTCTATTCTACTTTTTTGTCAATGAATTTTTCTGTTCTAGGTACCTCATACAGCTGCAATAATACAATCTTTGCCCTTTTGTGTCTGGCTTTCAGGGTTCATCCATGTTGGAGGATGTGTCAACATTTCATTCCTTTTAAAGGTTTTCTTTTTTTTTTTTTTTTTTGAGGTAGAGTTTCACTCTTGTTGCCCAGGCTGGAGTACAATGGCACGATCTTGGCTCACCGCAACCTCCACCTCTCAGGTTCAAGCAATTCTCCTGCCTCAGCCTCCCTAGTAGCTGGGATTATAGGCATGTGCCACCAGGCCCAGCTAATTTTGTATTTTTGGTAGAGACGGGGTTTCTCCATGTTGGTCAGGCTGGTCTCGAACTCCCGACCTCGGGTGATCCACCCGCCTCGGCCTCCCAAAGTGCTGGGATTACAGGCGTGAGCCACTGTGCCCGGCCTCTTTTAAAGGTTTTCAAGATTCATCCATGTTGTAGCATGTGTCCAAATCTCATCCCTTTTAAAGGCTGAGTAATATTCCTCTCTTTTTTTTTTTGTTTTAGACGAAGTTTTGCTCTTGTTGCCCAGGCTGGAGTGCAGTGGCGTGATCTTGGCTCACTGCAACCTCAGCCTCCAGGGTTCAAGCGATTCTCCTACCTCAGCCTCCTGAGTAACTGGGATTACAGGCATCCGCCACCATGCCTGGCTAATTTTTTTTTTTTGAGATAGAGTTTGCCTCTCATTGCCCAGGCTGGAGTGCAATGACGCTATCTCAGCTCACCGCAACCTTTGTCTCCCAGGTTCAAGTGATTCTCCTGCCTCAGCCTCCCGAGTAGCTGGGATTATAGTCACGTGCCACCACGCCTAGCTAATTTTGTATTTTTAGTAGAGACGGGGTTTCTCCATGCCTGTAATTGCCACCATGCCTGGCTAATTTTTTTTTTTTGTCTTTTTAGTAGAGACGGGGTTTGTCTATGTTGGTCAGGATGGTCTCGAACTCCCAACCTTAGGTGATCTGCCCGCCTCTGCTTCCACTGCACCTGGCCTTAATTTTTTGTATTTTTAGTAGAGACAGGGTTTCACCATGTTGGTAAGGCTGGTCCCGAGCTCCTGACCTCAGGTGATCCACCCGCTTCGGCCTCCCAAAGTGCTGGGATTACAGGCGTGAACCACTGCGCCCAGCAGGTATCTCTGTTAATTGAACAGTTTAACTTGATTCTGTCCCACAGAAATATAACAAGAGTCATATATAGAATTAAAATTTGTTGTTGTTGTTGTTACCGTTGTTTTTTTGGAGACAGGGTCTCCCTCTGTCACCCAGCCTGGGGTGCAGTGACATGATCACAGCTCACTGCAGCCTCGAACTCCTGGGCTCAAGTGATCCTCCTGCCTTAGCGTCCTGATTGCTAGAACTACAGGCACGTGCCACTGTGCCCAGTTATTTTTATTTTTGTAGAGACAGGGATCTCGCTGTATTGCCAGGGCT